AGTTCCTACTAGGTTTATCAAGCATGAAAAGGTTTACATGTTCACAGTTTGAAGCATAGAAGTATCTCATCTTCAATAAAACCTAGAAATGTCAGGTTGTTGTTAGGAATCACCTTGAGATCCACAAATGATGTGTTCCCTTTTTGATTCCCTTCATATGTGACATTTCCACTCTTTATTGATGATGTCTTATTGAAGCCATGAAACAACTAGAGTTACAAGCAATTGAAAACCAGAATGTGCATTAAAAACTCGACAAGAAAGATATTCACAATGGGATAGGAACTTGACTTACTAACTTCCTGTTCTGTAGAAATTTTACCTTTCGTGTTAGTATTATAAGTCAAAGTTCTTCCATTGTAGGTTTATAGAAAGAGATACCTTGATTTGGCTATCATCATCTCTTTTGGAACCTCGCTGTCGAGATAATGCGAGTTCCCTCCTATTATAAACCTTCGACTCTTCCATGTTCCTTTTGACATAAAGTTGGAACATGTCCTTCTGGTCCTTTAGACCATTGTATCTTGGGTAGAGGAACGTGTTGATTAAATCTCAAATTCTTCAACACCTTGTCAAAGTCCCTCATATTATCATTCAAAAGATATAACATGAAAGTTCACAACCCAAGAGATTCCTTTGTGCCTTTAAAATGTCAGTAGGTTAGTCAAAAGAGGTAGATAAAACCTAAAGCATAAAAGTGTTAAAACATAAAGTTCCTGTAAGAATACTCCCTTTTAGATGTCGTTCCATCAACGAAATGATGAATTTCTAACACGAAGTCAAATATAATCATCTTAGCTCATCATCCTTCATAAGAGTCTGCTACAGGAATTAATGCTTTGTTCCAAGGAACTTTGAATAATAAGAACTTAACTGGAACTTGAACAAGAATCTTTACAGGAACGTATACGCTAACTCCTATAGCACCTTGATATAGAAGCTTTGTTATTCCTGTATCCCTAATTCGTTTTATCATTCCAAGTTTACCAAGTTCCAACCAATTTAAGCACTGAGCTCCTAATGGAACAAACTTTTGCGCACCAATTTGTCTCAATGGACAAACCTACAAAACAATCATTAATAACTTGCACAAAGCTAGAAGAGAAGTTAGTTTGTCATGATATACATTATAAACATCCAAACAACTTCTCTTTTCATCCATTCACAAATAACCTTCATAATATTAGGGAATTGAATTTCAATAGGACTTTGTGAAGGATTAATACATACTAAAAGCACATGACCAATATTTACAGAGAGATGTATAGGCGACTTACACACTTATCCACTGTCGCTTCACCTACTACAAACCTCTTATAAAGGCTTTCTAGTGAGAGGAATTTGCACATAATTGCTTATATACAAACAACCAAAGATCATCATTATTAATAAGTTGTCTCCACTCACTTAGCCTGCAAAATCGGTCATCTTTTGGCTTTGGTTACCCAATTTATATTAGGTACCTTCATGTTAGTAATAGACATCAATAATCCATAATTAAAACAACTACGGTTAAACCAACTATCTTTACTAACAATAAACACCATGTGTCTACATAATAAATATTCAGAAAAACACATACACATGATAAGGTCATTCTTTGGCAAATATTCAAAATATACGTTCATTACCTTGCCCAAAGAATTAAGTTTCCATACAGGGGTAATCTAGGTTCCAAGAGACCAAATATGCATAATTCTACATAATACGTTCCTTGAACTATTTCCAGTAAACCGATTCTTTAAAAATAAATCAATTTGTAAATTTGACAAATACTTTTCACTCTATAAATCAGATTTGAGGTTACACAAAATTGATTTGCAAACTTTCAAAACAAAATCCAAAATTTAACTAGAAATACTACAAGGAACTTGTACACATATATAATCAAGACTTCAAAGACGAGACACTTACCTCAAAGATGTTCATCTTTGAATCAAATCTGCTTCACAAGCAGACTTTGGTCTTCACGTGGTATTGGGAACGTTCTAGGGTTGAGTTCCATTCGCTGCATTCCTTGTAGGTATCCATCCTAGCCTGGAACTTGCTCCTCGGGGTTGCCCGGTTTATCAAGAGCACCTGCTCTGATACCAATTGTTATTTCGGATGATATACTACAAGAGGGGGGGTGAATTGTAGTATGTTCCTAGTGCCTACTTTTCGCGGAACTTATGCGGAAATTAAAAACAAAACGTAAAGGAACTTAAAGCACACAACAAGTTTTACGAGGAAACCATCCAGTGCCTAACTGGAAGTAAAACCTCGGCCCTATTGGGACTTATAAACAAATTCCACTATAATAGGCAACTCTCCTAGTACAACCTATTACACTGACCTTTGCTTTGAAAGTTCCACCACGGACACTTGACTATATGATAGGACACCTCCTACCAGACCTAAGACACCTCTCAGGACCCTTTTTCTCCCTTTACCCAGGACACTTCCTAGGTGACCCAAGACACCTCTCAGGTTCCTTTCACTCACTGTGCAATCCAAGACACACCCACTCAGGGTGACTAACTACCACTCGAATTTTACGAGATTTCAAACTCATACACAAGCGTGAATTTAAGATAATTCACAATCTCACCCCAAAATACAAAACACTCAAAACCCTTTTTCCCATTACAAGATCTCATTGAATATCCCTAAATACATATCTATGAATAAAGAGATAAAACTAATATGTTGGACACTCGAGACCTGTCTGGAACTCACTGGACGTACTGTAACCAAAACCTGATAGGAACTTTGACCAGGAGGACTGACTTAGCTTCGTGGTGAAGGACAAAACCATTAAGCACGACCACTACACTTCGTCAGCCTCAACTTTGAATGAATGCATATGAGCATATTTATAGTACACTCGAATTATTCATTTCATCTTGAAAAAGATAGATTTTCTGAAAAGATAAGTTTAAAAGATATTTTCTAAAAATCAGTTTTCCGAAAATATACCTTTTTGTTAAGAATAAAAACTGTCAATAATAATAAGATAAACTTAGCATAAAATCAGATTTTATTCAAAACTTATCTTTTTGTTTAAAATACTTTTTAAACAATCTTATCTTTTTCCAAAAGGGATTTATTAGAAGATAAATATCTTTATTCAGTAAAACCAAATCCCTAAAAGATATGCACGTATAAGGTAAATATATATATCATTAAAACCGACTTTTAACGACGTTCATACTTAAGTTCCTATTAGGTTCCTGAACTCTGACAGTCTCTGAGTTCCTGACAAGTCAGTTACTCTAATTTCATTGACTGTTTGGAATTCACCTTGGTTCTATATAGACTTGTTCCAGACCGACTTTTATGTCCAACATACTTACATGAATCCTAGAGCAATATACTTCTATTTCTCTGTCTTCATGTTGCTTCTCTGAAACTCTTGTTCTGGAATCCTGTAGTCTTGATATATTCTGGATCTTAGGGTTTTCCCCAGCATTACACCGAAACCAGGTCGTTACAACCCGTTTTGAAGTTCCTGTTAAGAAACTTCTGGAAGTTCCATTTCTGGAACTCTTCTTCTAAATTTACTTGTATCCTCATGGATCCTCTAAAGTTCCTCTGTTTCAATTCCTACTTCAGCCCTCAACGCTTACTGAACCTGCAAACATCACAACACTAGAAAATCCTTATTAAATGGAAGTTTGCTCAATTCTTAACATCATCATCAAAACCTCATAAGGATCAACAAGTTGTCCCTTTTTGATGATGACGAACTGAGCAAACTTCTGAGAATAACAAAGTAAAACAGAAGGTTAGTTTTTTATTTATAAAAACAATAAAGAAAACTAAACTAAATTAAAAGACTCCTACACATACATAACCTATATATGTATAGGATACTTACCTTATGAAGCTAACATATGTAAACACATGTTTACATAGTTACCTTCATGGTCCCTTAGCCATCATCATGCTTATCAACCATAACACTTATCGTTGTTCTTGTTCCTCTATTGCTTATCCTATATTGCTCAAGTTCCTTACATATATACCTGTCATTACTCAGGTTCCTTGTATCCTGTTCCAAGCATAATTTGCTTTTTCTATGCACAACTTAACATACACGTTAGATAGATAATCATCATTAGTTTATAATCATCAAAACCTAATTGCTCAACAGGAAGATATTAACAAAACGTTAGCAATCACAATCACTCAAAATACTAATAAAGTTTTGCAATAATTATTAAATGGAACTCTGAAAATATCAGGGATTCTGCAGGGTTCAAGTGTGAAACCTTTACCCTGTTTGGTGATTATTATATACTAACTTCGTCCCTAAATAATATAGTTGGCCACGTAAGAATCTTTGACCATAAATTTGTTAATTAATACATAGTACGTAGTATATTGAATTATGATGTTAAAAAATGTAGATATTTCTATAACTTGTAGGTCATACTGTTGAACTATATGAGCTTATGAAGTATGATGTTTTCTTCTTCTTCTTTTTTTCTTTTTTTTTTTTTGGAAAGAAGTATGGTGTTTTCTTGCATATTTGCATTTTTTGGAGAATTGGGGAGAAAATTATTGATTTGTTAATATAGTTTAACCACAAAAAGTTAAATGTTTTTCTTTGGTTAATTTAGTTCAAATAGCATTGCTGATGCACATTGTTGTATACTTGTGTAACTTTGGTAGTGTAAAATGACTTGTATATTGAATATAAAAGGTTAAAATGCCTCAAAGTTTTGAAATATACTACAACAGATAGCTACTTTCTCCTAATCTCTTTGTCCTTTTAGATTTGCCTCATTTTGAGGTTTTGTTTAGTTGAAATGGTTCCACAATAGTTCTCTATTTTATTTCAATATCTACCCTATATAGTGACAAAATTATCCACCATTTCAATATACTATGTAACTCCTAAAAGAGTAAGTTTTAAAAGTATGGGACAAACATTAAGAGCGAATGGAGTATATGTTACGAGTAGTAAATAAAAAATAAAAAAAATAAAAGATTGAAAAGAAAGTGTAATAATTTACCTATAACTAACCAAATTGATTGCTAGAGAAATGGGTTGATCTCCTCTTCCAATCCCTTGTTCTTGAACAAAAATAGGAACCCTTTTGCCTTTAAAATCCATATGTGAAAATTGTTCTCCAAACCCAAAAAATCTCTCATTTTCTTCACTTGAATAAGTCATACAAATCCTGTTAAACTCAATTGATTTTGTTAACCATTTCTTCTCTCTTTCATCATCTTCAACTGATATCACTGCTGCCCTTAATGGTAACCAACTTAACCCGAATTTTCGCCTCCGAATTCGACCCAATTTCTTATTGACACCCTTTGATTTTAGATGAGTAACTTCATAATTTGGTTTATCAATCTTCACTTGGAACCCAATTTGATGGTCATTTTTCTGATAAAAAATAACCCAATATTTAGCATAACAAGAAAATTTTCCAATTTTAATTTTCTTGTTCTTGTTATAAACCCTCCCTGTTATTAGTAAAACAGGGGATTTAGCCCCTTTTAAATCTTGTTTAAGATCAAATCCAATGAACCCAGATGAATGATCTTGATCATTAACCTCAAAATTCCCATCTAAATCAAAATTGATCTCTTTAATCTCTTCAATATACTGGTGTTTACAAACTAAATTGATTTTGCTGTCGCTTATCGCGAATGATCCCCTGCTTTCTTCAACCTCTGTTTCAGCCATTGCAGCAGAAACAAAGGATTTTCCAGGAATTGTAGACCAAATTGATGTTTTAGATTTAGAAAGATGAGAAATTGAAAGATTCCCGCCATTTTTGGAGGTCCAAAAGGCTTGGAAATGGGTTCCAATGGAGTAAAAATGGTGAGAAGGAAGTGAAAGAGGATTGAAAGAAAGGGTACCTTGAATGAGAGGGAGAGATTTTGGGGGTGAAGGAAAAGGATTATTGAAATGTTTATGATGTTTTTTTATTGTTTTGAAAGTTTTCATTTTTAGGGAAATAAAAAAAATTATTAAGAGAGAGAAAATTTGTTGGGCAAAATTGATTTGGTTTGATTCCTTAGTTTTTGTTCAATTTGAATCTTGTGGGTATTTAACCATTTATAGATTCTAAAAGTTGAAGGGTAAGATTCATGACTCATGAGTTGCATCTAGACCACCAATGATATTTAATACATTTGCCCTCCATGTCACCATATATCCTCTAACATCCACAATCACGTCAAATCACATAAAAGTTTCTTCTATTACTCTTTCCGTCCCTTAATTAGATTTCTATTTCTCTCTATTATGTGAGTAATAAATGCCACACATAGGAATTTAATAAAGGTAGAAGAGTACGTATTATTCTTTCCAATAATTATTTACTCGTTTTTTGAGTGAAAAACATATATTGTATACACCTGTATTATAGAAATTTTTGCTAAACTTTGGTCGATTGGTGTAAGAAAGCTTATTTGGATTAGAGAGAAAATACAAGTTTATCTACTCGATTAATTATACATACACATTTGTTAGTTTATTAGCCGGGAAAATTTGTAAATAAATCAATAATTTTCCATTAAATATGGGTTTCATAATTGTTGAACGGCTTATTTACAAAAATACTATGTTAATCTATTCACAATTTTGTCATTTGTTTATTTATTTATTTTACAAAAATGTCATTTGTTAATCGATATGAAGGAGATAAATTGGGACTTCCACTTGAACTAGACGGGTTTGTAAATTTATGCGATTTGTCAATAATACTCTTAGTTTTTTGGTTTTGACTTCTTGCTTTGAATTGGGCAACCTTTGACCGACTTGCCGTCATCAACCGCTGATAAACGAGAGGAAGCTTCTTATATGACAAATGGCCAACCAAAACAAAATACAAGTAAGAAAATAATCAAACTACTCGTATAAGATATGCTGCGTATGCTAGTTCAAGTATGAATGTACTCGTTTTTGTGAAAATTCTAAGTTTGAATTTAGGTAGACAAGGTAGTGGGGTAGTTGAAAATGTCTTTTCTAAATTTTAATTAGGAAAATTTGGAAACATAAATACATAATACATTAACAAAATTGTGTGTATGTGTTAATTTTCTGTAATAAATAGCTAATATAGTTATACGGAGTAACTAATAAATAATGGAGTACCATGTAAGATGTAACATATGCTGACACAACAAATGTTTTCGTGTTTTTTTTTATTTGGATTCAGTCGGTGAGTCAGATCAAATCTAGTTCAGATTTAAGTCGTGCTAAATTATTGTGCTCATACACATCAATTTTGAATAAGATTAGATTAAGTCTAATTGGATTGTTTTTAACACCTCTAATATTAAGCTATCGGATTAACATGATAAAATTATTACGAGGACATACTTTGTAATTAGTAGTTTACAAATTACGCACGTGAATTTACAACGATTACGGAGTACATACACAACAAATGGGATATCGCAAATTTTGCAATAGGGATATTTGGTCCTACCCTTCTCTACAGCCAAAATGCACGTGAAGACATGCTCGATGAACAACGATGCATGCAACTAAATAATGGGTCTAAATTCAATCTTCTACGGAGTACTATCTTGTTCTCGTAATTTTTTAAAGCTTTGATTTTGTACTATACTTTTACTCGGAGTACTTTTGTTTCACAAATCACAATGTTTATGCATTAAACTAACTTTAGAGTATAAAACATATTCCTGGACCTAAACCATAAGTTTAAGCTTTTGGTTGAGTTGGTCCTTTAACATGGTATCAGAGCCAGCGTGACACAAAAGTCACGGGTTCAAATCTCATCCGCCCCTCCTTCAAAGTGGAATTAATTCGCACCAGGTATGCGTGAGCCTGTGTTGCATCCACATTTCAAGCCCAAAGGGCCTTTCATGTCAGGGGGAGTGATAGAGTATAAAACATATTCCTGAGCCTCAACCATAAGTTTAAGTTTTTGGTTGAGTTGGTCCTTTAACATACTTTTGTGACTAAATAAAACAAAAATATCTTTATGCTATTCTATCTTTAAAAAAAACTTTTATACTCCGTAAACTATTCGACTATTTCAATAAAATATGAACTTCTAAAGAATATCATTTCATACTATGAGTGTTAGTAACTCTTAATTAGGGCACTAAATCCAAAAGTATTCTTTTCCCAATAAATTAATCATACAAGTATCATGTTAATTCAAAATTAGTAAGGGTAATCCAAAATGTAATAAAGATGTTTAAGACTTTTGTTTATATAGTTGGAATATATTATAAAGATTTGAATTTTGCCACATAAAGTGACTAAATTCATGATGAATGTGGCCATGATATGTAGGATTTTGTACCAACCCAAGATTATGGGGTCATTCAAACCTTCTTTCTTAAATTCAGACATTCATCTATAAAAAAAAAAAAAAAATTGGAGAAAATTTAAGGAATGATGAAGATTATAGATTATACACAAGTACACAACCAAGTGACTCTCCTCCATCTCTCATGGCAGATTTATCCCACCTTATTTCTTTGATGAAAACTTCATATAAAAGAAAAATAATTGCAAATGAAGTATTTTTTAATGTAAATTATCAAGATTTTAACTTTTTTATAAGTTTAACTTAAACACGATTAAAAATCTTTAAAGTGAGATTATAAAGATGAGTATGCTTGGTCTCAAATGTCACAAATTTCAAACAGCAATATTGTTCATGACTTCATCTGTATGTAGCCGTTAAATAAAAATAACGAATGTAGCCTTAATATAAGCATATGGTTCATATCTGCCAAACTATCTCAGTTTTTTTTTTTTTTTTTTTTAAATAAAAAAAAATATTTATTTAAATTTGCTATATTTGAATGGATTAAAAGTCCGAGGCAATTTTGATGACAAACTTACAAACTTTGAACTTATTTTAAGTTCAGTTTAATTCTAAAACTTGTTCTTTTGGACTCATTTTAAGTTCAGTTCAATTCAATTCTAAAATTTGTTCTTTTGAACTGATTTTCAATTTGATTTAATTCAATTTAGTTAAGCTAGTTCATTTATCATATACAGTATGCTATCTATTACGAATATCATATCAAAGTTGATGTGTGAATAGTGTTAACGTCAAACTAATTACATACCATATGAGTTGTGACCTATTTGAACCATATTACCATACTTTCAAATTAAAGGGGCGATATTATCTCAAATCGTTAATAGCCACTGTGCAAAGCTCTACCACACGCACACATTGTACTTGCAACTTAAATTTGACATACAAAACAAAGATCTTAACCCATAGTTACTTTTCTTAGTTGAAAACAAGTTATGATTGGACAAACAAGCCTGTTATCTAGTCTAAATTGAAATTAGGTTCATTTGCCCTACGGCTTAAGTATCAAATTTGATCACCACGTACACCAATCTCGGCAGCAAAAGAACAAACCACGCGGAACATGGATTCAAACGGTGTAGCTCAATCAACTCTATACGAAGGTACCATTTGATGATATCAGTTCACTGCAATCCATTGTGATTAAAAAGACATAGGCTCAGCGAAATGTCCACGAAGATAACCTAATAACAGAGTATGTACTTGTATAACCGGTGGGAGAAAAAAAAATCAGTCGCAAGACTAGTTCATTCAGTTGCAAGACTAAAACATAAATCATCCAGGGAACTGATTAAATAGAATTTATATATTATTCGTTCAAACGATGGAACTGGATAACAGAAGTATTTATTACCAGATAAAGTGAACCACACAACAAATAGATGATTCACTCACTAGTACCTTGCTGTCATATGAATCATAAGCAATATATTCACATTGGCAGTATCAAAGGTGATGTTCTTGAATTCCATAAAAAAGGAAAAGAGAGAAAAATGACATCAAGATTTGCTGATGAACTAGCAAAAGCATACTTCTACAGTGGTCTAAAGCCTACGCAGAATATTCTAACATTAACAACAGAACTTACAATTCGAAGCTGTATATTAGATACCAGAGATGGAATAGTTACCAACTTTAGGAATTCAACAAAAGCAGATATGCAGTTCCTACTGCAAGAATGCAAATGGATCATTCAGCAAAATCTTCAATCGAGCAAATCAGACACGGCATTTTTGCTAAATGCATCAACCTGAGCTAACTGTCCAGCAAGTCCTTTATTTGGGAATATATTGTCTGCCTTCATCCTCTCTCTAAACCCATATGCTGGAACCTTGGCATTTATGTACGCTTGGAGCAGCGCACTGAATGGCCTTGCACGGGAAACATAGCCAGCCTGCTTCATCCGAAGGAACATTTTCTCAGCATTATGGATATCACCCCTTTTAGCATACTGGTCTAAGATGGAAATATAAGAACTAAACAACGGCCTCTTCTGCTGATTCTGTGAGGTTGCTTTCAGCAATATAGAGTCTGCTTTCTCCACTTCCCCAGCATCCACGTAGAGCTTCACAACAGCATCCCAAGCAACTGGCCCAATTTGGCAGCCACTGTTTCCCATCTGCTTTAGTAGCTGCTTTCCCTTGCCCAGCATCTTGTTTTCTGCATATACTTTCAGCATGCAAGAATAATGCCGAGTAGAAAGCTTTTTGATTGATTTCTCCATCTTATGGTACACAGCTTCTGCTTGTTCGACGTTCTTCAGCTTCCCAAAAGCTTCAATAGCAGCCAGGTAATCTCCTTCTCGGGGCTTTGGCTCGCAAACTTTCCACAATCTTTCAACATCATCAGCCTTGCCTAGATTTGCATAAATTAAGAGCAAAATGGGGCAGACTCCGCGATTAGAGTTTAAGTCATCCCCTTCCATCTCCTGCAGAATTGCTTCCGCCTTTTCTTTGAGTCCACCAAAGGCATAATGACGAGCAAGAGTGGCTTGGACACGGAAGTTGGGTTTGACGCCTTCAGCTCGCATTGTCTCAACAATTTGTTCCATACCAATAATGTCATTTGATAGCCCTTTTGTGTCTATCAAGAGTTGGTAAGTAAAAAGAGTGGGCTTAATATCATCTTTCTCCATCATTAAAAGTACATCTGCAATTTTTTTCTTATCAGTTCTCTTGTAAAGAACAAGCAACTGGTTGCAAGTAAAGGGAGAAATTGGAAAGCCAAGGTCCTTCATTTTATTAAATATCTCTTCAGATTTAGCCACATTGGTGAGGGACACACAGTTGGCAAGCAAAGTTCTATAGACCACTTCTTGTCTGTGGGATTTAGGGATAGTGTCGATAAAAGTCTCCGCCTTGTGAAGACCACGCACCTTGGCAATCAGATCCACTCTAGATGCATAATCCCGCTCGGTCAACTCAAAATCCTCTCTTTTATCTAGCCACTCCGACAGCTGACATTATATTTAAAAGAGTAAGAACAGCATTAATATGAGCACAATATCAACATTATCATATACACATATAAGTCCATATATCCAGAATTATGTGGAAGACATAAGCATATAATGATACAAGTACCATTGCAGTTGACTTCCTTGTACACAGAGTAACAGACTCCTAAATTATGGACTACAACAACAACAAAGCCTTAGTCCCAAAATTATTTTGGGGTCGGCTAACATGAATCGCCATAAGGATCCGTCCAAAAAGGAAATATTAATTATGGATAAAAGCCAAATTAAAATATCACCATATAGATATTCATAACTTGAACAACTAAAACAAAACAAAAAGGCCCTAAAGTTGCTTCTAATACACAATCCACTTCCCTCCCAAATTAAACTGTTTCCTTAACAAACCTACAGCAGACTACACAAAATTCAGTCCAATAAGCAAATAAAGCATATAAAGTAAAGTTGTAAAAATCTGACAAATGCATTTTGCTTCCAATACAGCAACTCATTTTCCATACAGCAGACTGCAGAAAATGTACTATAATGTGATAAAAAAAATCCAAAAATGCTCTACCTTGTGAAAAAGAAGTGTAAAAAGAAAAAGAAAAAGAAAAAAGAAAGAAAGAACCCACAGCAAAGAGTGCAATACTGCAATCTGCTGCCTTGGACTGTTCTAAACCAGAATATTTGATAACCTAAAAAATCAATTCCATCCTCGAACAATGGCAGACTTGAGAAGATAGAAATATCAGTCCTATGCATAATTTCAAAGTTCAACAACTTTGCCATGGATGGAAGCTAAAACTCCAAAAGCAACATTAATAGCATTAACATACAAGAATTATACTTGTAACCATAACTGTTAAAAAATTGCTTCAGATTTGGACAGATGAGGTAGGGAAAAAAATCCATCACAAAATAATTAATTTGCAAGGATTGAAAAAGTGCATCAGCATCTAGATGAAGAGGCCACCCATCTAAACATTTATTGCTAAAAACAAAAGGAACGAATAATCAGCCACTACGTAGCTACAATTTGACATAGAGGCGATTGGATATTCTTTTTAAACATGCTGCTGCT